CAGAATGGTATCTAGTAGGATTATGTGCCAAAGGATTGACGATGAAAAGCTTCGTTGGATTTTAATTTGCCTTTTTCTTTTTGTCTGAGAAAAGGAAAGCACGTCCACAAGATAACAGCAATCATTTTTTGCGCTGGGAAAGTGCGAGACCGACATAAAAAAAATAGCAGAGGAATAGCGTCTCCCCATTCATTTCCCAACCTGGCACTTATATTTGAGTGATTCAGCACGAAACTTCTCAAGTCCTGATCAACATTTTAGTGACGTAGCACGGGGCATTGAAGCATGAGGTGAACCTTGTCTGATGTTACCGTCTGACCTTTCCATTTCTCTTAAATCTTATACGGGATGCCACTACAGCTGGGATCGGCTGATCGGGCCGATCGCCCGACTCGATCGCCTCAAAAAGGAACATGTTTGTTTTCAGTTTCAGGCGATTGAGTCGGGCGATAGGCCCGATCCAGCCGTAGTGGGCACCCCGTATTAGTGCACATTAAACTGTCCCTGTCCTGTTGGTGCAGTAGGAACCTGACACAGTGATGAGCTTTTCCAGATGTCTGCAACCACCACATTGAGTTGTTAAATTTGTACAGACGTTAGATTCAGTTAGTTTGCACAGACAGTTATTTGAAATCGCGAGTCCCTCTCATCCTCAAAGAAGAATCCTGTGTATTTCTATTTATCGCTGCCAGCATCGGTCTGTGTGGCGGGGTATTTGTACTTTTTATATACGCTATTCATTGTGACGTATTTACCACTGTTGTAAACCTCTTTATCCTCAGTGTGAAATACGCTTATCCCATGTACTTGGTTTGCACATTATACCCTTCGTTTCCGGAGCCTAAGTGAGTTGCCATGTTATGGACTGCCTAAAAGTGGCTTCTCTTCATCATCTGACACAGCAGAACGTTAATCAGTTAAAATGGTACCTAACTTTCCTTCCATCCCTGAGTGCGAAAGGCTTATCTAGTTATGAATAGTAACGCATCCCCCCACCTCGAGCCTTACAGCGTTTACTAATTATGGTTATAACTGCTTTTTCCTCTCGGGGTCAGAGGGTGGTAGCTATTTATGGCTAACACTCCCCCTCCTCCCTTGTGTCCCCTTTTTCCTGTTCCTGCTGCCAAGCCCCATAGGATCCCTAGATATTATGGTTATTACTTCCTCTCCCACCCTGAGCTTTATACCCACTGCACATTTGATTAATTTATTCATTTGATAATGTCAGAGCCGGCCAGAAATGGATGGATGGGGAGAGGCGAAGTTTACAAATTTGACACAATTTAAAAAAAAAATCTAATTCAGTCGAAATTGCATTGAAATTGTGTCGAAATTGTCTAAGAAGGCCATGCATTGCCGAGGAGGAAAGTGGTTGTCTCAGACACTTTGACTTCTTGCACAGTGTCTTTATAATGTTTTATAAAAAAGGTAAGGGGGGAATGGTAAGTAGCCGTTTGTACAGGTGATTGTTTTAAACAGGTGGCCCTTAGAGAAGGTTCGACCGAACTAGGTTGCAGATCTGATACGTCTGATTCGTCTGGTGAAAATAGCCAATCACAAGAACATTATGAGTCACATGACATGGTGAGGTCTTGATTCGGGCCTTTAACTTTCGGATAGAATTTGACTAATCTTGGCAGGAATTTTGACGTAGAGTGCACTGAAGTCGCGATTAATCGATTCAATCCGATCTGATCCTGAGAATTGGTTTATTCGTTTGGAAAATGGGCATCGGCTATAATATTTTATCGAGTTGGCTCCTATATGCATACTGTTCGTTCTGATCCAGAGACCGAAGACAATGCGTATCGGAAATGATTACGATTAATAAAGAGCACCGTAGCCCTCTCGATAAATATTATTATGCCCCCCCC